AAAGGTGAACATGGAAAGCCGTACCCTCTTACAGAGGAAGACCATGATGATTCTGCTTATAGGGAAAATGGCTTCAACATATTTGTTAGCAACAATATAGCTTTGGAGCGATCCCTGCCAGACATCCGACATCCTAAGTACGTAAATTGTTTCCTGGACTGTTTGATTTTAAGGTTTTTTTTTTTTCTTTCTATATCTCTGTAAATAATCTGTTTTCCCAGAAGGTCAAACGTGAACCCTCAGATATCAAAAAGTGATCATTTCATTAAATGAGAAATGGAAGATTTATCACTGTTATTAAATCGTTTGCTCTATCTGTCTTTTAAACTGATCTCTCATCTTATTAGTAACACATTAAGGCTATGGAAGGTCTCTTTTAATTACAGAATGATTTTCATGGCATTTCTGGATAGTGATTTTTTAGGTAGTGATAAATAATGTTTTGCATGGTTTTTCAGGTTCTCATTTGTTAATAGCTGCAGATCTTTGGGCTGGGGGACAGGGTGACAAGTTGCATAAAATTTGCCTAAAAATTTGAACCAGTGTTTCCATGATGTTTCTTTTGCTTTTGTTACATAAGGAGTGAAAGCAGTCCAATAACTACAGTTTATCAGGTGTTAAGGCTACAGCTGATTTATGTAGTGTAGAATTAAGTAAAAGTAGAATGAGCAATGATGAAATGCACACACAGAATTGGGGGGTGGGGGGTTGAATGGTTGTATTGTTCCTTGATAGCAGTAATATCCTAAAGAGAAATAGGGTAAAGATTATTCTGTAAAATACCCACTGAGCAAAAAATGATCATGCAGTTCTCAGCAAACATAACTTTCATGTTCTGTAATTTTTGGCTCCCTGATACAAAGAGTAAAGCTTTCCGTCTGTAACAGGAAAGGGCATGTATGCCTTTCTAGGCTTCAGGCTCTAACAGGAGGGATGATTTGGTTTGTGTCTTTACATGGTGGTTTTCCCTCTTTTAATTGGGTGTTATGCAACTAGTGTGTGGGGAAAGGTACAGGTGTGTAACAAAACTGATCGTCTCCATGACTAGGTTTGTATTTTCCTTTGGTTACAGTCCTCTTTATTATACAGTGTTTCAGGTTAAGACATCTACTACCTTCTTAACTGATACAATTTTGCAGTATGAATTAGTTTGAAATTCCTCTGGGAACTGAACAGAACTTGAGAGCTTGACAGAAGTTCTTGGTGGGTGGAAAGAGAACTATCATGACAACTAATACGTCTTGTTCCATCAAATGTGGAACTGTCCTTTTCAAAGAATGAATGGTGTATAAATGTTTGCATAGTAAGATTTTAAAAAACAATTCACAATGGAGGAATTAACAAAAAAAAATATTTTAAAATAATCTTTTGTTGGAGGTGTTTCCTATTTAATTGCCATGTTTCATTGTTTTGAGAAAACACTGTTTATCTATTAATTTGTATATATTAGTATTCCTTGCACAGAATTAGGTCAAAAGAAATAATTTTTAATAAGCTGTATCTTTTAGCTACTTTGTATGCCTTCTACTTTGCCAAGTTACCTGAAATTATTTACAGAAAGAATGTGTTCAAGAAGTTTGAGTTCTAAAGTACGGCTGTACAGCATCAAAGCTGTGTTAAATTATGTTGTTGACATAATAAATATGCTCATCAAGCATCCTTCTCTATTAGCAAAACTGCAGAGGACAATAACTGAATACAAAAGGAAGCTGACACGTTTATCCTGCCTTTGTGTTTTTGTAAGTTGGACTTCTGGCAATTTATTTCTCACCCGCTCCTGTCCGCGCAGTCAATGACATTTCCTTGCATGTCCCCAGAAGCAATGTGAGCAATGTGTTGTCAGAAGTGACATATTAGGAACAAATCAGTGCTACATCAGTCTTTCTCTGCCCCCCTTCCATCTGCACGAATCCTTTAGTGACTTTCACCTTGGCATAAGAGTATGGGAAACTTGAATCCTTGGGTATCTGCGTAATTCAGCTAGGTTCCTGTGGTGTTCAGTGAAGTCTTGTAGGTTGATGTTTTGGTAGTGTCCCGAGTGAGCTGACTTGTGTCATGTCCTTCTAACCTTCCTTATGTTAAATACATGTAACACAAGTAGTCTGTTAGTTAATTTACTGGTTTTGCACTAAATTTGCGTACTAAGTAGTACACTGATGAAGGTGACAAAGCTGAGCTCTATAATTCTGATGGCTATGCCTTGAAGCGAGTCTGTTGCTTGAACTTCCAGGTTACACAGCAGTCTGACAATGCTTTCTGACCTACTACCAGAATCAAACCCATTTCTCAGCTGCTGCAAGTTAAATAAGATGCAGGCCAGTCTCACGTTGCACTTCCCTTTTGGAAATGTGTCCTCTCTTCAGAAATGTGAAGTAGTTCGTACCTCATAAGGCTGCTTTCAGGGGAACTCATTGGAAAACTATATAACTTCTATGCCAGAAAAGGGTGTTCTTATTGAAATAAAATTAGAGTAGGTAATTCAAGTGAGGTATAACAGGCGAGATCTAGTTTGGTTAGATTCTGAGTATTATAAAGGGCTTTTGCTTTGTGGAGCTTCTGATTGCCCTTCAGTTTTTAATCATCTTTTTTGCGTGTTTGTGGGGGATACTATCACTGTAGACTTTGAACTTTTGATCTTCTGTCTCTATTTAGTGTATACCATTTGCACGGGGGCTTGTCTGTACTGAAGGCAACATTTCTGAAAATGTTGTCTAGGATTTATTTTAAAGAACCAAGTAGAATGGTTTAATTGCCATTAGTAGAGAAAATTCACAAAATGAACCTTGAAATACAACAAAAACCAAGTGGTGAATCCTGTAATTTGGATCAAAGCCTATTTCAATTGAAAGAGCAGCTATAGTAGATTCTACATTTCTCTGAAATCACTTCATCAAAAAAATTTTATTCCAAAATTTTAGACCAAAGAAAATTCGAGTCTCACTTCTAAATGATTGTTTTTCTGGGAAGTGTGCAAAGATAGCAGGTCATCAAAACTTGCTCTTTTTATTCCAAATGAACTTTCTCCGTCTTGGTGTCTTTGGAAATTGGGCTCAGGATTTGCAAAATACATCTTCTGGGAGGGGGATGGGTGGAACTAAACTAACGCTTAGATGATGGAGCTCTGAGAAATTGAGGTTTTTCAATTTTTTAATACTATTTTTGTTTTCTTCCTTTGTATGATATATTTAAAGCACTTCAGCAAGATGTATTCAAACTGATGCTTCTTTCCTTTTTTAATAAACTAAAATGTGTGTGCTTGTAAAAATCCCTTGAGAAATGAAACGGTTAACTTCTATTTTAAGGCTGACTTAACAGCTTCCATGTGTCCTTATATGCTTCTATTGCATCCCTCTAATATCTCCCGTAGTTTTTTTTCCTGTCTCTCACAGCTACACTTGAATATATTTTTCCATTTCTGAGTGCTCTTTGATGTCTTGTTTCTGTCCCACTCTGATGCAAAAATCTTCTCACAGTGGACACATTCTCCACGTTACAGTAGCCAATTCTCTGTTCTTTGCCCGCAATCACCCCCTGGCTTTAAGTTTTAAAAATGCAAGCAAACAAAACCAACTTTTTAATGTTTTGTTTAATTCCAAAGGAAAATCTGAAACAGGATTGTTATCTCATTTCTTTGGGATTTTGGGACTGATTTAGTGAAAATAAGACTCCTGGTCATCTAAAATGGAAGGCAATGTTATGAGTTTTGGGGGTAGTATAGACAGCTGACAATGGAATTACTATTTAAGAGTTACAAGTTCTGTACCAATATGAAATACATTTCAAAACCTGCAAGAACAGTGTGGTGGTTTTTTTGTGTGTTGGTTTTTGTTGTTGGTTTATTTTTAACCTGCCCCATGCCACTTTCTGTATACAGAATACAAGAAACCCACAAGAGCTAGGAAAAATGCTGGCAGTATTGTTTTCTATTGTAGAGAGACAAACACTAGTTATTCTAATTATTTATTATAGCAGTTACCATTAATTCTTATATTTTCAAAGTTATTAAATATTCTGACATTCACACAAGTTTTGTTCAAACAAAACTGGATCTGATTCCCATTTTGAATAGCTTTCAAAATGTGATCTTAATGAGGCTTGGGGGAATGATTGCAATCATCTAGTCTCAACAGTGAATGTAAATTTTGTGGTATATCCTGTTTCAAACTCCTAAGTCCTTGTAACTAGAGCATCCAATTTTTTAGCTTTTTGTTCTTGAATAGAGGAATTCAAGTTAATTCCTGATACCAATAGAGTTGCGTGCATTATCATTTAAGATCTTCCATGGTTTTGACATGTTTGTGTAGCTTGATTTCAACAACAGGTCTACTTTTATCTACAATTTGTAGATTATTTGTTGATAACTTGTGTAGTCACAGATCAGAGGCACAAAAGCTTGTTGGCTTGCCAGAATAATCTATTGCAAGAAATCTCCTTTTTAGGTTTCCATGGGTACAGATAGATTGATTGCATACTGGAATACTTAATGTTCATATTGTACATTAAAAATGCCCAACCTGATTTTCGTGATGTTTGGGGTTTTTTTACCATGTATGGGCCGGAGTCAGTGTTTCCTAGTGTTGACTGCTGGTCTTGCTGTTGTTGCGTGACATGGTGGTGGCCCTTCACTGTCACTCCAAGCAGTATTCCTTTTCAGAAGTCTGAACTATGCTTTTTTTTTTTTTTTAACATGTTAAGTTTTTCACAGGCCTGAGAAGAAATACGTTTTCATATTCAAAGAAACATGGGTGTTTAGCTAAAGGCTCTGAGACCTTCTGTTTCCTGAACACTAATGTTCTTTCTTTTTAATAATAAAGAAAGCAAATATTACTCTAGCTGTTCTGCATAATTGAAACTCTCCCTCCTTACCAGAAGCAGAAGCTGGGAGAATGCCTGAACTGTTCTCTCCCAAAAAATTTGAATGCAGTGTGGTCAGTGTCCCTTGTGTTTTTAAAAGAGGCTAAAATGAATACGCGATGGGATTTCTTTGGGGGGGAGGGGGGGTGTTGGTTTTTGTTTGGCTGTATTTTTTTGTGTCTTTGGGATAGTTGCAGAGTTACTGGTAATCCTTCGTTATGTTTTAGTAACCTCTGCAGAAAGACTAGAATTACTAGACTAATATGGGAAAAGGATATATTAT